CGGTATGCGAACCCGCAAGGTGAGCTCAGCCAGGACGTTGTAATGATCAAGTGACTTTTTTGATGTTACGTAGTTAGCTCATTTATAATCGTGCTTGAAAAGTATCTACGAGTTCACTGCGAGCTAGATATAATGCGAATTTCAGGCCGTTACTGTCAACTCGGGTCAAGTAGCTGATGCTTTTTCACACATTGTACTATATAACAACAACAAAAATGATAGAAATGAGCTTAAACAGTTGGTCAAACATAAGTATGCCATGGGAGTTTACCCATAGCTGTGTAAGCAACGTTCCAACTCAAAGTACGTCTATAGATCTCTACCGATAAGAGAATAACAAACGCCTGTATATGCACATATTGGTTGAAGGTAGTGGTCCACACGCGTGAACCTGGAATAACGAGGACAGTGTACATAGTGAATGCAAAGCGACATATACTAATAACCTTGCCAATTCATTTGCCGGGCACCCTTTTGTCCCAAACGATGTTAAGGCTACTAGAACACTTCGCCCACGTTCATCAATTTGCTCCATACCTGCACCACTGTCCCCCTAAACGTTTTATCTTATCATCTTTCAACATTATACTTTTGCTTGCTGTGATTATAGGACCAACATGACACGTTCTCGGAGCGAAATAATCATCAGTGTTCATTGACGTCGCGCAGAGATAGTCAGAAGCGGTGCTTGGTAGCTGGAACGAAATTTAACAAAGAACAATTAAATTGTAGAACATGGATTGTGAAAAACCTTGTCCGTTCTTGGTCTATCGCACTTTGGGTCCACGATCATAGGAATCTCATGGATCATAGGTCCACTTTCGTTAAAGACTAAAAACACCAATGATTACAAAAAAACATAAAAATATTAACCAAGCAGGTGGTTGACGTATTTGAACATGTTCAGAGCTTGTCAGTTTAAAAAAAATAGCTGCGACTTTTGCATCTCATTAAAGATAAACCTTTCAAAACTACTAGTTCGAGAATGTTCAGTTGAAAAGGGTTAAGTGCGAAACTGCTTTATGATAAATCGCAGCTGATGTAAGCTTTGGGTGGACACTAGTTTCTGAGAATTACCTTTTTTGAGCATTTCTCTACCCTGAGAAGAATTAAAGATCTGACGAAAATCTTACTTTATCTTCCCAAGTAGAGACCTTAATGGTAATTCCTTCTATCCTCTTATTTATGCCTCTTTTATTTAACCTAGCAAACTGGATCCTGTTAGTCCTCTACAGAGAAATATGTGTGTTACGAAAATTCCAAACATATGATTGAACATTCGGTTTAGAGTTGAAGATCAACTGATCACTCTATTCATTGTGAAGCGAAGGATCAAAAACTTGCTTCAGTAAACAATGATCCAAGTGAAAAAGGATATTGCAAAT